CTCCTCCTCGCGCTCCCGTCGGCGGCGGTCTCATGCGAGTGAGGTGCCGGCTCCGGCAAGTAGGTGCCGCGGTGCCGCTCGGTTCCCTCTTGATTCATCGGCCTTCCATACCCTGCGGTGCTGCCCCGCTTATCGGTGGGCCGGCGCATTGCGGTGTGGTGCGTAGAGTCGAGCTTTCTTTACCTTGGGCAACCGACCGTAGCTGTACTTAATCCAGTTTATGTGGTATCAGCGCTCTGTGGCAAAATACTGGTATTTTCTTACCTTTCCTACAAATTCCTTAGGAGACGCTCCAGAATCGTGCTTGCCTGCCTGCTGCCTCGCAATACTGCTACTTCAAGGCCAGGCTCGTCCACCTCGTTACATCTCAGTCGCATCGGACTGCTGAGGTCCAAAAATCCTTCCCGTTAATCCCTTGATCTTTGCTTTACACTGTAGAATTTAATTCCAGGTCTATTTGTTTTCGATAAATTACTCCTATCCTCCTCATCAATAATGCCAACTAGCTTCGTAACAGCGAACCTTAAGTTTGTTTCCAAGGGTCAGTTTTCTGTCATCTCTTCTTTCAGTGCTATTTGTTGTCGCCTGCCCTTTGGTTCCTTATCCAACGTCTAGATCTACCAATAATCGAAGAACAGTACTGAGTTTACCTGATGAAGCGATGGTGCATTTTACACCGCCTGAACCTCCACACGTTGCAAAAAAAAAAAATGCTTCAAACTTCTTAAAACTTCTGCACACTGTCCATCCTGTGTGCTGAGCATAAGCAAAATGTGGCTAGCCCTTCCATCGTACACAGTGTTCCAGCATATTATTTTTTATAATAAAATATATAAAATCTATATTATTATATAGATTTCCACTGCTGTGCTGCTGCTGCTTTTCTACTCTGCACCTGCCTGCCAGATACAGCTAATGTGTGATATTAATCTCTCAGAGTTTGCTGCTGCCTGAGTTATTTTCACTCCTATCTCCCATCTTGCCTTTGCCCCCATAGTTAATACCAACATGGGACTTGATCTACATTGTCTTTAATCTGTATTCCACCCTAATGTCTTAACTTCCCTGCTCTCTTTTGAGCTGTATGGACACACATACTTCAGCTATTTGTTTGCATATCCTTGATTTTTTGGATAAATCTTATATTTCATGACTTTCAAGAAATAGCTTTCCTAACATATTAACCAATTTCTTCTACGTTAATTTCCATTCCTGGTGAATTTACCATATATTGTTATCTTCCTCCTCAAGGCAGTTCTTCCTCTGGCTGATTCTGATTCCCATCTCTACTAGTTTTCACTCTGGGAATCAGATCCCTGGTAATCCTAGTGCTACGCCCGCTCTCTGTTCAAGCCCTTGAGTTCCTTACACTTGTTGACTAGGCATTTTCCTTAGTTCTGTCAGGCTCCAATGAGGGTCGTGAGGAGGAAAAACTGACATTTACTGTAAATCATTTGCATTAAAACCAAGAAGAAAGTGGATATATTTACCATGACCAGGTCCTGGATTAGTTAGAGGGCTTCCAAAATTCCACTTTTATGTTTTACCCCAGATCTGTTCATACACTGACCTTCTATACCATTATTAGAAAGTGACTGAAAACCATTGCTAGAGATAACCCATAAGATGGAGAAGGAGGCTGCTCGGCGTGTTTTATTACTAGCTGTTAATGCCAACAAAACCTCTCATCTTAATACTCTGAAGATACCTGTTACAAATTTTGACCCAAACTATGTAAACTCAGTAAGTAAGAGTTGCACCAGTTGTATTACAAATGCATTTGATCTTCTCTCTCCGCTCATGTTTTGAATTTAACAGAGGAGATATAATGATGTCTAAATCCCAGATAGTCCATTTGTCCTATAAGCACCAAAGCTGTCAATCATATTGTAGATAACTTTCTTCAGATGACATTTATTGCTAATATTTTTAACCAAAACCTCTTGCATTTTACTGAAATAAACTTTTTGTTTACAGGTGTGGACTGCTTATAGACTTTTGCAGTAGAACAAATAAACAAGGATACTTCAACCCTTTTAGTGCAGTGCACTGTCACACAGATCCAGCCATGCCTGCGGAAGGGAAAAGTGATATGGACAGGATTGGCCTCTTCAGTGAAATGGGTTATGTTACCATTGGAGAAAAATATGTATCACATTATATGCGTAAGTACATTTAATTTTAATCACTATTTAGTGATAGGGACCACCTCTAGTATCCATCTACTTTCAGAATCACTATTTTCTAATGTTTGGGGTTTTTTTTTGTTAGAGGGAACTGCTTTTTCACGCATATTCTTTGCTCAGGTCTGTATTATTAAGAGAAAGGCTTGATATGTTGGAACAAATATATTGAAGAAAGGAAAAATCCGGTAAAACTGAAAAATATGGATGTATAATAGACTGATAAAATCTTTTCGTGTATACATTTCTTTTTAATATTAATTATCTGCAAGTTACCAGTAGTTTCCTGCTTTTGTGAAAAACAGTAGTGTTTTTTGTGTGCTCTTTCAGCAGGTTTTATGATATTGACAGTTACATTGTCATTATTTTTAAATGTTTTTTTCTGTTCTGATCTGACTCATATGCGTGAGATTCTCCATCCTGTCTTTTTAAAGAATATTCTCCTTTTCTTGTTGTTTAATGGGAATACTCATTGAGAAAGGTAATTTTTGTAATTAGTAAGGTTACAGAGGTTAACCCTCAGTAGCTGCTTTGAAATAATCATGCAGAAAAATCCTGGCTTCTCAATACAGACATTTTTGCTGTGGTGTTGTGTCAGTGATGAACATGTCCACCAGAACCTTGGCTGATATACTTCTACCACACTGAGCTGCCGGGGATTCAAAACCCAACTGAAGGCATTTAAGCTATTCTACCTGGTCTGTAATCAGTGGGAGAGAGAGATGCTCCTCTGAAGTATTACTCATAGTATATAAATAGGCATCAGCTCTAGCTCTGAACTGTACCCTGGAGTACAGGGTACAGTACTCTCTCTCCATTGCCTGTAAAGCAAGTGCAGGGGTTAGAAAACTAAAACTAGGTGCTGTGAATACCTTCTCATAGCGTTGTCTTTCAGACACAACCATTTACATGCATGATTTAGAAGTTAAATGCTCTGTAGTACATTCTTTGAGCCACCCAGATCCAGACCTTAGTTTTTTAATGTAGGCTAAGAGAAGCACTAACATCGAACAGTTATTTACAGTGCTTACTTTTTTAAAGGCCCTTTTAACGAAGCTGCGAGCAAGAACAGACAGATGTTACCTGGGGGGACCAAAACATTGTCAGCTCTGCAGGCAGGTTATTTTGAGCCTCAGTTTGTGAGGATTTTCGATGGTGAAGCCTACTCAAACCCTGTTCAGCTAAGGAGACGCTATAGATTGGCAGAATCAAAGAAAAATTTGGGCAAAGCTTTCCTTCCCAGTAATGGAGACAAATTGCCGTAAGTGTTGTGAAAATATTTTAAATTGAACTTTTTTCTTTTCTGTATGCTAAAGATGATTTTCACAGATTATTTCTTACAAAACCTGTAATGAGAATACAATATTATTGTTTTATACAATGTAGTGTTAGCCAGTACTGAGCAAAGAATTTTGAGCAGCCACACAGGGAAGGCTGAACACAGGTAGAAATCAGGTCGTGATGCTTGCTCTTAACTGCTTTTTTTGCTGTAAACAGTTTTCTTACCCTTTAGCTTTTTATTTTCGATGAAAATGAAGATGGCCATGGGGAAAAGGGTGTGGATAATTAACAAATGAATATTTCATTTTAATTTAGGAGGAAATCTGTTGGAACTTGTCAGATACAATATCTTCTACCTCCTATTTCTGAGCATCCCAAAATAAAGATGGTATATATATTGCATAAACAGTAGGAAAAGGGGCCGTAATCCAGGTGCAACTTTTTTCTCTCAATGAATCCATATCCATTATCTTTCTGCTAGAAAAAATACCAATTATCCGATAGGATCGTCAGATGATGTTACAGAGCTGAGGAATATATGCAGAATATTAAAATAAATGCATCTTTGCTATTTGCACAACATTAATTGCATGACAAAATGACACCAATGCTATTGGTGTCATGTAACTATTATTATTCACGTGCAAAAAACAGATAGAGCCTGGTTCCTCATTTATAACTATACAATCTTGTATTGTTCTTGTTGCTGCAGTAATAGACAGGAGGATTCAGTCTGTGTACAGGCCCTAGTTCTTACAGTCTCATGGTTATATGAGACTGTATGACTATATAGTCATATCTTTCTGCAGCTTTGCTTTTGGAAAGTTTGGAGAGTAACCTCTTGTTTGTTTTATATATATATATTTTAGGATGCAAGGATTAGCTATGTTCTGTTGTATGTTACAGCAACATCTTAGCTTTTAACAGGAATGTAAGACATGGTGCGTAGGCTTTCTGTTGGATATATGTTTGCAATTTCTGATGGGACAGACAACGTGTGAGCCCTGTGTTCAAAACTTTCCTTCAACTACAACTTGACTTCATAGCAACCAAATTATTTATAAGGGTTTAACTGTTAGAAACACCTAGGCACTGATTTCAAATCTATGTCAGTCAATGAGAGTCCTGTTCACTTACTTTCTGGGTTCTGAGTCCAACAGTGGGAGTCTTGCTTACAACAAAGACCTGCTAATGTGCCCTCTTCCATGTACTGTCTCCACAAATGCGCTTGTTGCCTGTGGGTGCAGCGGCTCGTGCTCTTACTCTTGTTGTAAGACTTTTGAATTCTTCTAGACATGAAGTTTAGGACAGGTTCTTTATTGTCTTTATCGTCCCCTAAATCGGTACTGGCAGAGTAGTACAAAGCAGAGGCTGGGAAAGTGGCTAGGTTGTCTTTTAGTGGAATCCTGAAGCAATTATGGAGAGCTATTATACATTTCTTATATCCAAAACTGACTCCCATCCTAACTAAGGAACTAGTGCGGAGCTCTGTTGCTGTTCATTGAGTTGTTATTCTTGGCTGCCTGAATGATAAGCAGTTCTTGGGAATCTTTCCTTTACATTGGAGCCACATGTATTGTTGGCTGCAAAGGGAAGGGTTGCAAAGATGTCATATTCTGAAGATGTGACTGAAGCCTGGGCCTTTCTTTTCTTCATATGTCTGTTCTCTGTTATTTTGTTACTGGCATATAAAAAGCCTACGCACAGAAGTGACATTTAAAGAATATGAAATAAAGCACTTAAGAGCTAAGAAACACCAAGATAAAGGTTGTCTGTGCACTGTCAGTTTGCCCACTTTTTTCTATATATGGATTTATGAAGTCCCTAAATAAAGGGAGGGTAATGAAAGGCAGGTTAGCGTTCTGTGCAAAGATGACAAATGTTATCTTGGCATCCTAATCTTGTCAGTATTCATTAATGGCCCTTTTAAGTAGGAACTCATTGAGACACTTTACTCTCTCCCCACAATAATTGCAGACAGTACAGGCAAAGCAGATTACCTTGGCTATCTGGAGTAGTTGACAGATCTCATACAGTAGCCCCTCTTTATTTTTTGGTGTTCTGTTTTGGGTTTTTGGTGTGTGGGGACAGAGGGTTGGTTGGTTGGGGGTTTTTTTGACCACTGTAGCTGCAGCTTAGTGGACCAAATTGCCATTCAGCTATTTCATTAGTTTGTCTCGGTCCTTTTCTCCTTTAGTGGCTGTACGATCATGTACTTTGAGAGCATGTCATACACTTGTCAGCACATACTGATTTTCAAGGTGGTCTTTAAAAAACAGTCTTTGTGAATTCCCGCAGCTTTGTAGGCAGAGGTATTTCTCTTAAATGAGCTGTGCCTCCTTTTACTTTCCTTCTGTGCAAGACAGAAAGTTAGCTAGACCTAACATCTCCCAGAAAAAAACCCTTTCAGAGAGGTGCCCCATGTTGCCTGCCACTTCATTATCATACCAACACTAACTTACTGTTCTCTGTAAACTTGTGTGAAAGACTGTCCTCTTGTCATCAAGCATCAAGTCTGTTTAACCTGTTTAACCTATTCCTCTGGGTCTCTCTTTGTGAATCTGTCGCTACCAGTGTTACCTTGTTGGCGCAAAATTAAAAGAACCTCTAATAAGCATATTTATATTATTAAGATACCTTAAAACTTCATCTCTGCCGCCACCTTGTTTCTTTTTTGTCCATAACACTGTGCACGGAATTGCTGTAGTAGTAGATCCATGGACAGTGGATCTGATCTGGTTTTATAATTAACTCGAGATGTATATATTGTTTGGGTTTTCTACTTACTGTCATTTTAGCACACTAGATATGGAAAGCCTGAAATACTTGCAAAACATTAATTAGTGTGTTCATTTGCTATTTTTAGATGTGGACTTGGCAGCTATTATGGAACCATAGGAGGTTCGTATGCATACTTCAGTCCACAACTGAAAGCCAAAGAAAGATACATTCCTCCTGGAAAGAATTTTTATACTAATCCAGGAAAGAAAGGAACTGGATATGGGTAACTTCACAATATTGCTTCTTGCAGAGTATTTTATTAAATGTTTATTGAGTTTTGAACACCTAAGTAACTAATTTTGTTTTTACAGTTATGCAAACCTTACCATAGGTGAACAATATCCGCATGAACCTGACAAGTATGAAGAAGAAAGAATAAATGCAAAGGTAAAAATATTTGTCTTTATTATGTATTAGTGTTATGATTATTTATTACAATGTACATGAACTTTTTGTTCCCTGTGGTGTCTCCTTTAGCTTGAAATCACTAATGTTTACTTACAAAGTGGAGGAAGGAAAACAAATTAATGACTATCCTGTATAAAAGAGATTTTGGTATTGTTCATTTACTATTTTTTCTTTGAGACATCTGGCAGCATCCCACACAAGTTCTACCATTCAGGATTTGACCTTATTTTTTTATTTGGAGACCTTAAGCCATAATGCAATAACGATCAAACAATGCCATTAGCAAGAACAATAATACTTCTATGTTGTTGTCACAAGAATGGGACCTCATTATCCTAGATGCTATATAAAAAAACCCTGTTCCTTTTTTCATATTTCATAAATCTAAGAAAACTCGTAGATTTGCTTGCACTGATTTTAGTTATCCTGTATATTTTCATCATATGTAGTGAAAAATGGCAGCAGGAGGACATTTTTTGGTCTAGGGTAAGAACAAGGTTAGAAGAAACAATTCAGCTACCTGCAGTTGAGACAAATTCAGAGTCAAAACTAAGCATCCAGTGCAGAAAATGAGAAGAACAGAGAAAAGAGGGAGGCGGGATTGTTTCCACTGGATAGAAAAAAAGGAATTTGCTCTGAGACATTAGCATGAATTACCAGGTGATACTGTATTACTAATGGTACATTTTATGCTTGTCTTTTAATTGTTTGTAACGTTTTAACCTATTTTATTTTAAAATGGAATCTGGGAAGAATAGTCAACATTTCCTATGGTACAAAGAACCAATTCCTAGAGAAGCTCAGCTTAGTAAGGTGCTCAGAATCTGGGAAACGTAGTGGCCAGGGTTCACAAGTGTGAGCAGCTGGGATACATGCAGGCAGAATTTCCAAGCATGTATGTATGCATGTGCGCCCAAGATACAGGTGTACAATACTGTTAGACGCATCTTAAATGCACAGTGCTTTTCCTGACATTTTCCTACCATACTTTCATAGTGATTGTCATGCTTCCTGGTCGCTGAATCTATGTTCCATTTTACATGGTGGCTATATAAAATACCTCGATCATCATCAAACAAGAGCAAAGAAAGTTAGAGCGAACATTCTCCAAGACTAAATTTAAATGCTTTCCATTTTTCTCTTAGAATAACATACAGTAAAAATCCTCAAGATTGTTTCTTTCAAAGTATTTGTTTTTCAGAAAGCGCAAGAGGAACATAAGCGGTTGGTTAAAGGAGGGCCTTTCAGGTTAAATCTATATCCCCAGGAGTATTTTGACATGAATCCCTATTTCAATGACAAACCTTTGCCACCTGTGAAGAAACCACCTCCAGAGAAGCCAATTGCACCACCTTTCAAACCAAGTTCTCCTGCTAAAAAGGTTAGTTTGTCTTATAGCTACTGGAGACAAAAATTATTCATATATTTCCTGTTAAAAACTTTGCTTACAGTACATAAGATAGAAATAAATGTTTGGTTTTGCTATTGATTTCTTACAAAAGATATTATTCCATTTACTTTGTTTTCAGTGTACAAAGAAATTAAATCTTGTTTGACCCAACAACTGCTAACCAGTTTCGAGTAACCTAAAAAGTGTTTCTCTTTAAAATCTGTATAGTGCTGTTAACATAGAGTTAGTTAATTGACTGCGTATGCCACGAAAAGATACAAAACAGAAGGTTATGCAATAAATGACAGTAAGACTAGATTACTGGAGCAAAATGAAATGCTGTCCTATTTTGGACTCTGTCAGTCACTCATATAATTTTTGAACCTGCTAATTACTCTCAGCCTATATAGACAAACATCTAAAAGATAATTCCTAGAAGTGTCATGGTAATGGATAGCTGGAAGGAGCAGAAAAACTCAGGTTAGTCCCTCTGCTCAGGGAAAGGCTGCAGAATAAACTCAGGAGTTATCTGTTGCTTGTCCATCAGCAGACAGAAATTTGGAATCCACTTTAGAATTTGCCAACTCTTCAGTAGTTAGGAGAAAAGGAGGAAAAGGATGGGAATAAATCTATGTGGAACGGCTTAGAGGGCATAAGAAATAAAGCCTGGAATTAGTATGAAGGATATATAGGAATATAGTTCATTGGTTCCAGTTGCTTAGTGTCATTATTTCTTAAAATCAAAATGGATATTTTTCCATTCCATGAAGCATTCCATCTTGATTTTTTTTTTAGATGAGATACTAAATTTATGCCATTCACCTTAGGCTAAACCTTAATTTCACTTTGAAAGGGGTTTAAGATGCATAATATCTCTCTCTTAAATGACTCACCTAATACAGTAACAATCCTTAATCTGTCACTTTTCAGCTCTTCATTTTGGAGTTCCATTGTCAGTCATTTAATACTGTGCTCTGCTAACCACTAATTTCCTACTATTATGTCCTCCACCCTTATTTGACTGAGATTGATTCATCTGAGGAAGATGATGATAGTAAGGAAAATGTAACTATTCAGAAAGAGACAGCAAAAATGCTTACACACGAATAGTTGTGTTGGGCGTTTGGCCTCATATATGAGGCAGATGAGATCTTTCAGAATGGAAATCTGTTCAGAAAAGTTAGCTGCTAGAAAGTCAGCACCTCGTCTGGCTGACAATGCTGGTGATCCTGCTCCAGGCTCCCCATCCTTCACACCGTATATGCTTTCCCCATATATTTGAATTGTGTGTAGTTCCCAAGCTACTGCACACTTTCCCTCTCTGCTATATAAATTATTATGGGAAAAATTGCTTTATTGTTGATTGAATTGCTTACTGCTGCACTTTTCAGGAATGCAGCCTCAGCAGACTGTGGGGTTTAGCTGTACTAGGGGATTGCAAATAATTAATCAGGTCTCTGCATCTTTTTTAACTAAAATTTGCCACTCTCGTAGTACTAGTGGACGTAACGTTTCAGGAAAAGCCAATGCTGTATTCAATCCTGTATGTCAGAAAGCATATTGATAATAATGCCCAAGCCCTGCTGTACATAACAATCCCTACACCAGTACTGGACATGGAGGTGTACTAGTAAACTAATAGTGACATAGGAATTCCCTTTTTTCTCTGCAACATAGCTCATTTTAGTGAGTTATGTTTTTACTTTTTCTGTCACATTTTTAAGATCCTTTCCTCAAAATCCAGATTTATGAAAGAACATTTAAAACTAAGAATTCATCAAAATAATGACTAAAATTTTCCTTAAAGTTTCCATTGCAAATTTAAGGAATATTTGTTTTTTGTTTTTTATATAATATGATGCAGTCTGCTATTCAGTATTCTTACTTACTTTTGCATGAAAAATATTTTAATTAACTCAATTATATTGTAGATTGGCACTTCGAGAAGTTCTTTTCTTTTCAGTCAGGGGGCATGAAAGGAGGCACATTTGATCCTTACCCAAGCCATTCCGCTGACCCTTATGTAATTAAAAAATCTAAGGCTGTCACAACTAATAAAGAACGACAGATTTTTCATCCTCCTCCTGGACCAAAAAGCAGACCTGTTACAAGCATAATAACTTTAAATGTCACAAGGTAAGCTCCTTTAATTTGAGTTCATGTTTCATGTATGCTGTCTGCCAAAAGTCATTAGCACAGCTGTTTATTACTGTCTAAAATAATTGAATAAATGAAGGAACGAATTATTAACGGAAGGATAGGAAATGTATAAGGAACTTGGCTTTCAAGATTTATTCCTACTCTCTCCTGTAAATTCAGGTTACTTTATAAGGCTATACGTATCATAGAGACCTTCAAAATCATGCTATACTGATGTCACTGAAAAATTATTATTTTTTATTATTTTCTGACTTGATAAATGTAAAAAGACCAGGAACGTTCTTGTTAAAAACAAAATCTGGTTTTGTTTTCCCTTATGTTTATGGAATAAAATTGGCTCCCTCTGCTGGCAAACAAAATATTAGGTAGTCTAAGCCTGTGAAGCTTTTGAAACAATGGCACTCAAAGTGGTATCCTAACTATAAACATGTCACTGTGCACTGTTAGAAGAGATTTATAGTACACAGTGTATAGGTAGATAAGCACATAATTCTTTACTTTTTTATCTTACTAACCTATAACCCTTATATTTAAACAAATTTATTTTCTGGTTTTGGCTCTGTTGTAGTTCAAGCAGAAAATCAAGACTGTATTCTTTAGAGTTATTTAGAGAAATCACTTTCAAATGCAGACTTCTAAGATTGCATGTAGAACAGTTAAGCATATTATTTTGCATACTCCATGAGTAACATGAAATATTTTAGAAACACTTGATTAAAATTTGAACTCTTAGATGAATCTGCTTCACATTTGTGATTTGTCTTTTACATATCATATGAAAAGTCTGAGAAATACACCTCTCTTATTCACCCATTGCTGTTCTATTTACTTCATTTCACCACGTATTGGCATTTGCATAATCACTTTTTAAGTTGCAGGGATACTTTGAAGTTTTTATTTACACTGACAAGGCAGAACCAGAAGCTACATATTACTCCACATTGCTTTTCATTACTAATGGAAAGTAAGAAAGAACTGAAAGTAACTTTTTGGTACCCCAAAAAGCATGGTAACTACCAACACTGATGTAAGAAAGTACAACTTTCCATGTATGCACTGGTGTTTGTTAGTAAACTAGTAAAAGGGAAAAAGAATGGTATATTGGTCTGAGTAGCCTTCTTACAGTGTAATTGTTTGTATTACTGTTTTATCAACGGAATAAAAATTCCGTTCCCAAATGAAATGTTTTTATCGGGGGAAAAAACCTAACTGTATGTGAAGAAGGTTTCAAAATTGAAAGGGAGGAACTGGTTGTGAAGTATCACTACGTGCTCACAGATATGGTGGACTCATAAAAAATATTTGTAAAGAGAAAAATTTCACATGTCCAACAGAAATTCCACAGAGAGAAATTAAAACTAGTATTTCAAATTCTCCACTGCTATTTCCTTCCTAAGAATTTTAAAGAATGTATTTATTCTTGGTTCATTATTCCTAGGTTTAATAGAATGAGAATTGTGAACTGCATTTATTATAAATATGAAGCTCATAGCTCATAGATTTTAAGAAATGTGGGAAGACATTTTTCAAATCATCTGCTTCCCCACTGAATTACAGTTCTTTATGTACTTTCCAATGGAAAGCTTATCTTCTGATATTTGGACCATAATCCTATAATTGGATTTGCTAATGTAGATTCTTGCTCTCACACAGAGCTCTGTTGAAATAAATTTGACTTCATGAGGATTCAAGTCATTAAATCTAATTACAGGACTGGGTGTACCACAGTTTTTCATTTTTACAAAAACTCTTGTAATTTGTACAGTGGTATTCTACAAAAATCTAATAAGTTTCTCTTCATTTACATTTCAGATCATTACATATAAAGAACTACAAGACTGCACAGCTTACATCTTACTAGATACAAAAGGTGAAATGAAGGGTACACTTTTTAGACTCTGTAAACTGTTAACAAAGCAAATAAAATGTGAAAAGTGGAATTCAAGTATATGGCAATCCAATCTATTATATTATTAAGAATGCAATTTTTTGTTTCTAAATATAAAGCTATAATAAATAATTTAAGATCTTTTATTTATTAAATCCAAGGTTGTATTTTTATGTAATTTTTCATCTTATTTGTTAACTGGACTTCTGAAATGTACTTTTAGAAAACATACTTGCTAATGAGTAATTTGGGTTGCAAATTGACTATATATTGCAGTGGCAGAAAGTGCATATATTTTAAAGTGAGTATCAACGTATGTATTAACCAAGTTAGTCACACGTGGCCCACAGTGAAACTAAGGTCATTGTTTCCCTTTAGTAGAATTACAACTTGTACTTTATTTCAACTACAATTTTGTGTAAGAACTTGTCCTGGTTTCAGCAGGGATAGAGTTAATTTCCTTCCTAGTAGCTGGTACAGTGCTGTGTTTTGGATTTAGGATGAGAACAAAGTTGATAACACACTGATGTTTCAGTTGTTGCTGAGCAGTGCTTACACTAGTCAAGGACTTTTCAGCTTCCCATGCTCTACCGACTGAGAAGGCTGGAGGTGCACAAGAAGCTGGGAGGGGGCACAGCCAGGACAGCTGACCCCAACTGGCCAAAGGGATATTCCATACCATGTGACGTCATGCTCAGTATATAAAGCTGGGGGAAGAAGAAGGAAGGGGGGGACGTTTGGAGTGATGGCGTTTGTCTTCCCAAGTCACC